CACATTAGACGTTCGACAGGAAAGAAGGAGCAAACCACACCAGAGCACCTGCTAACCACCCACAGGATAATAATTTTTTTTGGTGTGTTTTTTTTTTTCCAAAATTTTCACCAGCTCCGACAGCATGACGCATCACACGCTCTCTTTGTCTAAATTGCTGAACTGATAAAGTAATCACATTAAACACTGTGTCTCACCCAAACAGAAACACATGGGACTTTATCTGCACCAAGGTTCTTACCAGAGAATAAAATGGTTTGGCCACCTGTTATGTATGTCACCTAACCAGCCACCCTCGAGAGCCTACAACACCAAGCACTCAGGCTAAAAAGGAAGAGGAAGGCCACACAAAAGTAGATTGAGGGAGTCAAGGAAACTCTAAGAAATCAAACATCCCAATTGGAAAGATCTGCGGAGCTGGCCTACCATATAAAAACTGTATCTCCCCTCGACGCTTAATGGCAGCAGAGTATAAAAAGTAAAAGTAAGTAAAGTATGGTTCTTACCTGCGTTGGTGACTATTTCCAGTACGTTGCCATCGTCGTAAATGTTCACAGAGTAAGTCATCATGTCTGAAGCAAAAAAAAAGACAAAACAACAAGCCAAATGTTGAATAAATCGATACAATACAAAGATAAAGAAGAAAAAAAAAGCTTTGTGTCAGAGAATGTCTTCATTTTCAATTTTAAAAGACAATAGAAATAAATGTTTCAATGTTAGAGAAAAACTAGTTGTAACAGTACAAAGAAACAGCTGAGTACTTAAATAAAAGCAGACAGTTTATATTCAAGACTACGTATCCAATTGCAAAGATAATATATGAACATGTAAACAACAAAAGCACCAATATATAAGCTAAGAGCATTCCCCTCTTCACATGAACAATTTCCCCAAAAAGCACCAATAAGCTTTATAAACTAGCCGTCTATTAAAAAAAACAAGATTATCATTTCGTGCAATGCTGTTGGATTTCATAGTCAAGCTTACCTATTTGACTCAATTGTCCGTACTCTTGCGACTCTCTGTATGCACCCATGGTCAAACAGCTGTCCAGGTCCCCTTTCAGAGAAGTGTCAACGCACGCCCTGGGGATGAATTATATTCTCAAAAACTCAAGAGACCTTGGCTTAAAGCTCTCAAAAAAAATCTGATTTCGGGAAAACTCCCGAAGCAATTGTCAAAACATGTTTCAGCAATTTGATAAGTGAAAATTAAAAGGGGAAAAAATGTGTACCACTTAATACATATCATTACTGCTGCTAAAAAAGTAGCAAATCTATTTCAACTGCTGCATGAAAATGATGAAATGGTATAGGTATGACACCCCAATGAACTATTAGGTCATTTAAGAGTTTAACGTCCATCTCCGAAAGGGGACTGAGCCAAGTGAGAAATTCGTGTAAAGTGCCTATCCCAAGGACAAAACATCGGACCGAGCTGAGACTCGAACCCCCTGAACCAGCAATTTCACGATTACGAGCCTGGTAGCCTAACAACTAGACTTTTGATGCCACAGACGGCTCAGTGTGAGACACCACTATATGTCACTTTTCAAAGCAAAGTCTTACACAAAACCCTCCGGGCGGTGCTACTGACTAAGGAGTCTTTAGGCCATTCCCAAAGGGGGGATACTCATAAGTTCTTATGCACAGTAGAATTGTAAATGGGCTGATTCATCAATGTCATGCTCATAACTGCCAGAACTGCAATCCTAAGTTCCTAATCCTTACTATTGTCATTTCCTCTACTTCTTTTGTATGTCTGACACACTCTTGTGACCCGCTATTTCCGGGGTGCCTTGATAGTCGAAACAGACTTTGAGCTGTTGAAGCTAGAGAGGTGAGCAGAGTAAGCCCGATTCCCTGTAAGGACTTCTCTGTTGACACCACCCCTTGGCGCTCATATGATCTTATGCAGTTGCCACCGTTGTAAAACCTCTACTAAAAAAGTCTTACACTTGGCCGTCAATTAGTTCCTGCTTTAGTCCGTTTTGAATAAGAAACAACCCCCAACACCCCCTTCCCCTAAAAAAAATTAAATAAAAAACAAGGGGCTCTCTCATTTTTCTTGCAACAGCAACAAAATTCTTTCATAGGTAAAATTAGATGATCATCGCACAGTATAAGATCTAATTTTCTGTATTGGCTTTAATAAAAAAACTTACTTCCATTTCTCCCCATCGTTGAAAACAACACAGTCGTAGACGGGTCCAAGTTCTGGGCACTTCTTGTCTAAAGAGTTCAGGAGGTCAACTCTCGCTTGCAGGTCTTCACGAGTGGCTTTGTCCTCCTATTACAGAAAAAAAAAAGAGAGAGAGAGGAAAACATCGTGAAAATCTATACGAAAACCTCAGTAAAAATGTTAAAGTAAAACATAGCCTTCCTCTCTTCTCTTTGCTGAATGATTATATTCTGTACCTATTTTAAGTTGTACATACACCTTCCAACAATGCCTCGGTTTTTCCGATCCGGTGGTCAAAAAAACAAAACATGGTACAGCCCTTCATCAGGGCCCGGCTGAGAATCTCAAGATTGTTCGTCCACTCTTCAGTCATGGTCAGAAGCACGAGGTTCGGAAAATGGTAAAGTCTTCCCTCACACTAGGGTACCTCTCTCGAAAAAAGGACTTGATTTAAACAGTAACATAAGACTTCACAATAACTTCCTCCACCGGCCAGTCCATTCTAATACACCAGGGTGACTGGCCAAACAAACTCCACAATTGTCCAGGGGTGGGTATTCATTTTTCAGGGCTTCGATATCTCACATGCATCTCCAACATAGCTGCTTGTTTGCTCAAAATACACTCTTGGATGGAGGGTGGACGAAAGCCGAATGAATACCACAAACGTAATCAGCAAAATATGAACTTGCAGACCTTACGAAATTTGGTTTTTCAAATATTGGAGAACTTATTGGGAATAAAAATGGATCTTTTGTAGGGCCAATATGTTGATTTACTGAAATTCCAGGGTTTCAGCATCTTAGTGAAATTCCCCAAGACATTCCCAGGGCCTGGCAGTCACTTTGAATACACCATCTCAGCTTAGACATTGGCTGTGTGAGGTTGATTGCTGTTGCAGGTTCTTATAGCAACCTACTCTCTCATAATTAATGATCAAGTAACGGGCTTCAAAAAAACTAAAAACTATCTTTAAAGTAACAATAAATAAATAAAATAAAATACATTTTTATTGATTCCAGAAGGGCAATTTGGTTTACAAAGGCATACTTACTTACCTACATAATTATAAATATATACAGTATACAGACATAAATCCATACTCATAATATACAATACATTCATAAATACACAACGTTACAGACACCAACACAGAACAATGAAGTAGCTCAAGATCTCTGAACTCACAGGTGTTGTACAGGTCGGGTGTTCTTTGTCAAACTTCTCCAGTTCCCGCAAGGCGTCGTTCACGACTTGTCGGTGCTGTGGAAGCCAGGAGCGGTCTCTTGTTTCCGTGGTGACTCGATCTCGCAGAGCTTTGGGAAAGAGATCGTAGGCCATTTTGATGCCGATGTGGAATTTCCCATCTGGCACCGCCCATGACTCAGGGATCTGTGGAAGTTCAAGGAGATAATTTATAACAATGGCAAAGAAAAGAACCCAACAATTTCTTTTTAAACAGCTTCTTAAAAAAGCGAAATTGAGCCATCCCAAAAAAGTACACAAAGTGAAACTGTGATAGTTCAGTATCGTTTAATGAAAGCACTATCATCTACTTTTAAAGACAAAAAAAAAAGACCCCCACATGATATGTGGCACTTCAGTTAAAATAAAACCAGGACAGGACAACAATGTTTTGCAACCAACCCGGTTCAGGAACGAGCCCCCCAAAAAAGCACTGAATTCGAGTGATTCAAACGACCATTCTACAAAAAATTCATATCATACACTTGTTACCAAAAAAAAAATACAATGAGAGTAGGACACACAAACATTTCTGCAAATTTTTTTTTCCACTTTTACCCTTACGCTGTTACATTGCAGTATTAGCAAACACATATCTATTTCAACCAGAAGTGGCCATGAAAAGTAAATCTTCAACTTTTCAGACCCCCTGAAAATGCCCACCCCGGAAGGGGGGGGGGGGGGGGGGGGGGCTCATTATAGGACCACATCGACTTAAAAAACATTATTTCAAAACTATTCTTTAACTGTTGTGAAACATCCCCACAAACTTTCAAAATCTTGTTCAACACAGTAGATAAATAGATTCAAAACATTCGCATTTGTTTTTATGAATAAACAAACAAAATGATGAGATATTTTAAAAGAAATCAGCAATCTAGCATGGCTATGGAGAAACGACGTCAAAAGGGAAAAAACAAAAACAAACCCAAACATTTATACTGTATTGTATTACCTTGAGTTTTCTTCCTGAGAGACCAGTGATAAAACCTTCCGTGGCAGACACCACCACAGAAGTATCGACATCTCCAGATCCTGTGCAGTCCACGAGGTCTATCACTTTAGGTTTGCCGTCAGTTGTCACCTGAAGAAAAGAGATAGCACATGGAAGAGAATTGAGACAAGCTTTATCCAGATGGACTTGGGTTTGTAGATGAAAACAGCTGACAAAATATCTCATGGCATATCATTTTGAATTGATAAACAATCCGCTCGTGAAAAATATTGGGACTTGCCTACATTCAACAGAATCTTAAACAATTAAATTGTCAAGCTCTTTTGAACTCCAAAAGTTCTTCCCGCCCAGAGACCAAAATCAACCAGATGCCAACGCCTAGATGATATACACCTCGATCTCCATTCTTTTTTCACCTTCAAAGACCTTATAGTTATAGTCAGATGCAAACGAGAAATTTACCCATAGTGTAAGATCAATTTCCTACAAATTTCTGAAATACATCATTCTATTGTTCATTTCATTAAAAAGAGAGATGGCTGAACTCTTCCCATTTACAAGAGTTCAGTCAAATCACAACGTTCACAATAATATGCTTTAGCATTTGTGATTCAATAAACCCAAAACCAAAATCTACTTTCCCTCCCATCTCATACTCAAGATTTATACATAAGTTTGAAAATTTCTAGAAAATGATTGATTTGCGACATTTGTAGCGGCCATAGTGTCCTGCTGCTAAAATTATTGCAATTTGACCCTCAATACACAGCATCTGTGTGCAGGAGAGGATGTAAAATTTAACAGCTTTTCTTGAAACAATTGGTTTGCAACGTTTTTAACAGCCCTATTAGCCACAAATATTGTGGTTTAGCCCTCAAAAGCAGTGCATCTCATTTCCGAATATGGAGTGAAAGTGAAAATTTATGTCAATTCTGTACAATTCAGTCTAATAGGTTATTATTTTACTCACAGACCCGTCTCCCGTTCAGATATTCAAAAGCACATTTGTTAGTTTTTAATCTGCTTTACCGTAACACCCCCACCCATTCACACTTTACACACACACACACAAGCGTACTACTCCATTTGTAAACAACCAACAAATCTCAAGAACGTAAACCGTTAGAAGAAATAGATTTCAAATTTTGTTTCCCAGAGTGTTCGGAGAAATAGAACCGGCCTTTTATTTTGTGAGTTAGATCTAGATTCTAGATCTATATCAGATGATAAGTGTTGAATCCCAACATTCTATAATTTCTGAGACTCTCAAAACCTAAATTTTAAAAAAGCCTGTGGCTATGCGAACGGCCCTCCCTACATACGTACGGCCCTTAGATTTAGATAGAAGCATGCTCACGGCCTTGATAATCGCTCAGCTGGACTGCGTCACTTTATCGATTGACATCTTGGCAAAGACAAAGATCATGTATACTCGTATAACAAGATAGTTTACTCCTCTATAATGGAGTCAATTACAAAAGTGTCCTCAATATTCGGCGGCCCCCTCTTCGAAAAAAGTGCGAACTTTGCGATTAGAGTTACCCTACTTGTGTGAAAATATATATATATATAATGAAAGTGAAACTAACAAACTGTGCTATTCCTATTCTTCTTGCGGTGAAACGAAAGAGAGCTTCAAAACAAAGACTGCAGCGTCATCTGAACCAATGTGCGGGCTTCCGCTGACACTGACACCTTTTTGGCTGAGTGAACTATTTTCTTATGTACGATATTTGGCCAAGAGACGTTCTAAGAGGCCAAGATAAATTGCAAAGTCATTGGTCACTATTTATAACTTTGACTTGTAATTTAATACGCCATTTTCCTTATCAATAAGGAATGCTGAAATTTTCCATAGAAAAGGGTCAGCGTCTAGATCTATGTCCTTTATAGCTGCACGCTTCCCAATCGAAGTAGGTCATCCCTATATATAAGGACTGCGCGCTTCCCGGGTAGCCCAGCTCACGCCCTTTTAAGCCCTTTAGGGTCTGTGCGCTTCCAGGGAAGTTTGTCCACTTGTAGTGTCTGGTTTGATAGTTTATGTGCCGCCTACAAAGCCTAGCTTATTAAGTGAAGTGGAGGGCCGTACACATAACCTCGATACTCTATGCGTGGGGAGGGCCGTGCGCATCTATAGCCACAAGACTATGCGTACAGGAGCCAGGCGCATAGCCACTTTGTTTTTAAAAAATGGCCGAAACGAAAAACTGGGGTAAGAATATGTGGAAGTAGGCCTAGATCTAGATCTAGATCTACTCTCACACTTTCCCTTTTTTTAGATCTAAATCTAGAGTCTAGATCTAGAGTCTAGATCTAGACCCAATTTTCTCCAGTTTCCTTCCAATTCCAATCTCCAGCTAGCTCAACCCCACTTCTAACCTCTAATTCCAATCCTCCCCCAATCCTAGATCTAGGGGGGGGGGGGAACTACAATGACACATTTAAAGATTATGTGTGAACAAAAATGGCTTCCCACTCTCATACTGGAAAAACAGTCGGCGTCACAGCCGCAGGGCATTTATTCAAGAACTTGGAAAAATTCACTCACAATCTGCACAACAATAATAACAACAACGTCGACAAAATTTAGAGAAAATCTTGCTGAAAATGTAGTTAACCTACGGACAATCGGAGCTCCTCTGTAGATGGCATGAATTAACAGGAGAACGGCGATGAATGTTCATGAGAAAACCAGCAGAAACGTCACAGTATGGCAGCAGTATAACGCATCCATTATTATCTAACAGAAAGTAAACACCGAAAAACCCTTGGGTAGCAGTTATCGAAAATAGGTAATATTTTGACACAATTTGGAGAATAAATACCTGCAATCCTGATGCAGCTGGGTCGACTCCCGTGTCAAGGACAGCAATCACTACCCCTCTGCCATCATATTCTGGAAACTTGGTTAAAAATGACACTGCACCGGTCTCTTTCTTGGGCAAAATCCCTTCCACAGGAAAGGGTACTATAGAGCTCGCCATCTTGGATGAGTTTGCGTCTCTCGACAGTCTCGTGTCACTGCGAGATTTGAGAGCTTCGAAGCTAAGCAACCGTAAACTTCCGGGGGCGTGGGTAGTTGAATTCAGCAGAGCAAAAAGTGGCTCGTCTTCCGTGGAGGTTCGCCTTGAGCGCGCACAAACCAAGTGTGACTCTCTGTGGATTTATTTGACAATTGGAAGACAAAAAGGACTTACGATGTCGCTACGTGTGATAAAGCATACGAGGGATCCCCTCGAGACGATAGAAAGGATGCTTAACAAAACAGCTCTTGTCACCCAAAGACTCGGTCATGATCAGATAATGGGTAAGTTTCACCATGCAGAGCGTTCGGGAATGTGATAGACGCTCAACTAAAATTATTACTCCCACGATCAGAAAATAGTGTCAAACAAGATTTTTTTTTTCTAATTACCCTTACGTGAATTTTCTCAAACCAAATGTTTTGTTTTAAATGGATTTCTTTATGTTCCATCACTTTTTGTATGTTTGTTTGTTTGTATTTTTATTTATTTTGTGGGGAAGGGGTATTAATTAGTATTATTTTTATTATCATTATTTTTTTTCTATTATTATCATCATTGTTATTATTATTATTATCATCATCAT